CATCTTATTATTTATCTTGAACATTGTTCTAACAATTCGGCTCCTAAAGCACTACAATTTCATGTCAGGTCTGGTATTCCATTCGCAGATCGTGACTTCCATTCCCGCTGGAATGGCGTCCTTAACAAAAATGCATGTCGATTAAATGAGGTCCTAATTGGCAACTGCCGCAAACTCCTCAAAGACATCGACAACCAAATTCACTTTAGAACTAGAAGGCTAAAAAGAGACCTTCCTACATCTGAGTTTCAAAACAAACTCAAGATTATTGCCAAGGATTGCCTTAAGCTTTCCAAGGAACTTTCCCTGAGGAGACAACACAAGTTTGGACGAGATCACTTCAACACAAGTGATCCAACCTTTGCACAATGTTTGGCTTTCACATAAACCTAGAAGGTTCATTCGGCGCTTTAGTGATAATCCGTGCAACGGATTCAGTTGTTCAAATTAACTGTCAGCTTTCCGAAGGAGAAACCAAACTTCTATCCCGAGGACTCAAATTTTGCCCAAAACCGAGGCAGGCTGACCACAACAACTATCTTTGGATCTGGAAGCTTTCTTCCGACGTTTAAGATGCTGTGATAATACAGGCAATGTTAACAAATTCAAACCAAAAAGTACCTGGAATCCTCCTAGAATCGTTGCCCAGCTTTAGAAACTTTCATTCAGGCCATTGAGGAGGATGTTAAAAACCACGCTCGTAGTCCAGATTTCCGCGACAAAAAAAAACGAGAGGGCAGGCCATTGCCAATTTGCGTCAGCGTGATGATATTATCATCAAACCAGCTGATAAAGGCTCTGCCACTGTCGTAATGGACATTAAATTCTATGAAGAGGAGTCCTTATAAGACAACTAAACAATCATCTTCACCATCGGAAGCTCACAGAGGACCCCACTCCGAAATTTCTAAGGAAGTGGAAAAATCTGTATTTAAGATGGTTAAAAAAGGTTCCATCGATCCCAAAATTGGACCCCATCTCATCCAGGTCGATCCGGCACCAGGACGTTTATGTCCTACCCAAAATCCACAAAGCAGGCCATCCTGGCAGACCCATCATTTCGGCAACGGTACTGCTACAGAAAAAAATCTCTGAATATGTGGATGATTTATTGAGACCATGTTGTTGCTCTCCCCTCGTACATTCAGGACTCCACGGACTTTATCCGCAAAATTAACCAAATTTCAAATTTACCTAATAATACTGTTCTGGCTACACTTGATGTTTCGTCATTATTTATCATATCCCTCATGAAGAAGGTGTTATTGCGTGCATTTCAAATTACAAACAAATTCGGGGCAAAACCCCATCTAAATCACATCTACGTGAACTTATCATGCTGATTCTGACCAATAATAACTTTGTTTTCGGCGACGGTCATTACCTACAAATTCATGGCACAGCGATGGGCACTAAAATGGCTCCATCTTTTACTAACTTACTTATGGGACAATTTGAGGCCAATTTTTTGTCCCTACAGCCCAAGAAACCAGATGTTTGGTTTCGTTACACTGATGATATCTTCATCATCTGGACGGACCCATGGTGAAGGTAGTTTGGATACGTTCCTATTGAACATTAATTCGGCTCATCCCACAATCAAATTCACTGCTAACAAATCCACAAGCAGTGTAGATTTTCTGGACATCACCATGACCATGGAAAATGGTGCACTCAAAACTGATCTCTTCGGTAAACCCACTGATAAGCATATGTACCTGCTCCCTAGCAGCTGTCATCCCCCGCACTCTACAAAAAACATTCCGTACAGCCAAGCATTGCGCATGAGACGCATTTGTTCTTCGGATTTAGATTTTCAGAATCGCACAGAAGAGCTATCCGGACATCTCCGGAATAGAAATTATCATCGAGGACCCATCGAAAATGCTGTAAAAAAAGCAAAGGACATACTTCGTGCTCAAACACTGACATACAAACCACGTCAGCGATCGACCAGAGTGCCACTGGTCACTACCTATCACCCTAGGTTACCACCACTAAGGGCTATAATTCAGAAACATATGCCCATTCTACAGACCACAGAACGTCTTAGTTCTGTTTTTCCGGATACACCGTTCACCACCTACCTTTGTGATATATTAGTACGATCTAAATTCAAGAGGCAAATTAACTCTTGCGACAGCCATAATTTGGGTAGTCGTCTTTGTGGTTCATCTTGCAAAACATGCTCCTTGCTTGATTCTACACAATCATTCAAGAGCAACCAAACAAACCACATATTTCGGATAAGGCAATCAATTAATTGCCTCACCAAAAATGTCATTTATCTCATATATTGTAATATTTGTGGTAAACAATATGTCGGAGAAACAAAAAACACTCTCCGTATGAGAATGACAACACAGATCAGCTATCAGAACATCTAAGCTTGATCAACCAGTAGACAAACATTTCAATTTAGCTGGTCATTCAATTTCAAATTTCAGAGTGATTGCAATTGACCATAATGCCAATTGTAGCGACAAAAATCGGAAAGATAAAGAGAATCACTGGGAACTTTTACTTAAAACCACCACACCATTTGGACTCAATATTAGGAACGTTCTCCCAGTACACTAAATTAAACCTATGGCATTCCAAATTATTCTGGATAAATCATTTGGCTTATTCATTAAGGCATGCCTCTAAAGTTTAGTTTTGGCCTTCCTGTTTACTTGTTTAGGCTGTTTATTCTAATCCCACCATAGCCTATTGTTTCAAATCATGCTTGCATGAAATTCTCACTTTATACTATCTGGCTTTTTCAACCCTCACTCACTCGCCACTGAGGAAGGACTAGTGTTGTCCGAAAGTTCTGGTTCTATTTCTGGCTGTTTACTTACGTTTACTTTTTAGCTGTTGCTTATCATTTTTGTATCTCTACCGAGATCCAGCCATTGTTTCCCACAGCATTGTTGTTTTTCAGTATTTTGCCTTTTAATCTTATAATATTTATATTTATATATATATTTATACATATTTATTTAAAAACAGAAGATATTGTAAAAATTTACCTCAAAATTTAGTTTAAAACAACAGCTAACAAGCAATGATGGTCACAGACGTTTTTTTATATATACATCCAACAACAAAACAATCTTCACAACTGCTGATATCCATTTAGCATCAGTTTTTATTTACATATGCTTAATCAGTTGCTGTTTTCATCTAAAAAATATTATTTTTCAGTACACACTGGTGCTTTACAATGCCCTTGCAAGAATGAACAAAAATACACATACATATAATAATACATTAACTATTACTACTGTATATGTACACTTTATATGTATACATACATATATTGTATAGTATCAAAATATTTTAGACATTAAAATAATTTTCATTACAGTACCAAAATGATTAACATTTTTAAAAAGTTGATGTGGATTATATAAAAAAAATGCTTGTTAAATTTTGATAAATTTTGTTAATGTATTTCCAAAACAGAAATAAATCCATTTTAATACCCCTGCAAAGTGAATGAAGACACACGCACACACACACACACACACACCCACACACACACACAATACACAATTATTACTATATACATACACTGATATAAATATATATATACATATACATATATATATATATATATATACACACACATATATATACACACACACACATATATATATATATATATATACCTTTTCATATGAATATATATACATAAACTTTATAAGTATCAGAACATTTTAGACATTATAATCATTTTTATTTCTATTTTAAAATTATCAACTATCAATATCATTACAATACCAAAATCATTAACATTTAAAAAAAAGATGAGGTGGATATGTAAATTGGCTAATAATATGTAAATTGGCTAAGTATCTACTTCAAGGACAACCTTCTAATGTAACTATATATAACTAATTTTAAATAATTAAGTTTTGTTTACATAATTTACAGTATATATGTCTTCCAAAACTTGATATAGTGTCTTAAATTTATCTGTTAAATATTTTTATATTACAAAGATTAGCAAAGGGTAAAAGTAAAGGTAGAAGAGTAACCCGTAACTCACAGCGTCATTGTGCTGAACTGCTCATAGGCGTGGTCCGCGACTAGTACCTAGCAGCCGTAAAGAGGTGCTTATACTAGCTACATGTTCTCATCATTCTACAAGGACAGGGGCTGAAATGAACCATAGCATCAGGGTAACCTTCCACTCTTTCGAAAGATGCAATAGGTTCTGGACATCCATTTTTAAGTCCTTATACGAGAAGACTTGGTTCCACCAGCCGAATCCCGGGTGAGGAACCAGTGCCAGATGTTAAGGTTGTAGTTAGCGGCGCTCTTGCCTTACCGATCGGCCACTGGACTCGCCAAGATTAATAAAACTTATGTTTTTAAGATGACACCACTAAAAATGCCTTCTTGCTTGCAATTGTAAAAAAATGTACATATAAACTTTTATAAATTGATAATCAGATACCATGAAGTCATATTAATCACATTTCGATAAAACTTCATTCAAATATATAAATATTTAATACTTAATAAACTTAATCATGATATATAAATTTTCACATATATCTCACAATTATTTTACACATAACTAGAAAATGGAAGCAGTAGTCATAACAAATCATTTTTAATAATTATTAGATAATTTGGCAGAATAATTGTTAGTAAACAATAATAAATTCATATAGTACTTTCCAAAGTTATAATTTATTTTTCTTTGTATGTGAAGCAAGACTTTCTTCAAATACCCGCTAATATTGATGACTTTGAATAAAAATAAACGTATATTTTTGGCCAATCAGTGAACCCACCGCCATCAAAAATATTTCAGAAAAAATAGTTTTTCTTTATTATTATTACGCCCACCGCTGCCTTGAAATCTCCAAAAATAGGATACAGTATGTATATTTCTTCCTAGTTATATAAATCTAAAGCATTTAACCATTCCATTATTACACTGTTTACATTCAACAATAACATTTTATTTATATTTCCTCCTCTTTACGAATGTTTTTGGCAAAACCATTTGCTAAATAAGAAAATAAAAATTTGTTAAAATGTTTTTTTGGTCCTCCTCTGACGATCTCTAAAAAAAACAAGTTTGCGAAAGAAGGTGTAAAAAAAGTCTCGCCTACAGTATGTTACTTATTTCATCCTTGTTGGAAACAACAATTACTTTCAAACAAAATGTGTTTAGATTAGACCATAAAATATTCTATTTACAAAACACTCTAAGTAAACGTTTGCTTTAATAATAACAGTAGATGAAGGAGACTCTTCCTTGAGTAACAAAAACAGTGATAGGCTGGATTTTGCCATATCTTTGCTGTTATGTGTTATATTCACACCCAAGATTTTTGTATTCTCACTTGAAATACAAAATAATTAGTAGCAAAAATGGAATTCGACAAATCTTACACACAGTCTAATTGCATCATTATATGTGTCTACACCTGTGTTGCACATGCGATATGCGACACTGAAGTGTTAAGTTATCTTTTCAAAGGTAAATTTAAAATATATATATTACTTTTAGAAACAATTTAGAAACAATAAACTCTTGACATACTTTAAAAACTATGTCCATTTCTAATTCTTAATATTAATTCAGCAACACTTAAATTCAGAAAAATTACACATGACACAGTGAAGCCCAACACTGTTGTTGTGTTGGATCTGTGTGAGTAAAACACTGACATGATAGGTCTGTGTTGGGGCCGGTCACGCTGTAGAATATTAAACATGTTTAAAGATGTACTATCAGCCATAAGACAGGAAAATATGTCAAAAATTCAAATAAAAATTTGAATAGCTCATTTAAACTACCAGCCAATTTAAGGATTTTTTTAGTAAAATGTCTTTAAATCAGTGAAAACAAATTCTTTTCAATCTGTTTCTTGGTGGAAGATAATAATTTGATTCTTTAAAATAAGCTATTCAATTTTTTTTATATTTTTGAGGTATTATCCTGTATTTTGACTGTTAGTACACCCTTAATATACTCACGATGACGTACAGATTGTCTCAGACGATAAGTCGCGTTGGGCTGTGTCGTACAACGCTGTCCGAGTTGGACAGGTTTCATACTTTAGTCATTTACAGGCTGATGTCGGTAGTTGGCAACCGTGTTGTAGTTCAGAATATTATTTGCTCCACATCGTTGTTCAGCCTCAAGACGCAGATACTTTGTTTTAAAGAAGGTGACAAACATAATACAAGTGAATGTAATGTATCCACTGCAGATTAAAAGTGGTCCTAAAACATAAAATAAGAATAGTTATAATTTAAGAAAGTTAACATGAAAGTTTAAAAATGTAAAAATACTTATATTAAATATAAATAATAATAATTCAAAATTGTTATAGTGCAAATTATAAAACAATGTTAAAATCAAATGCATTATGACTGAAATTTATGTTTCAATGTTAGCTTTAATAGTGGATATTATCGAAGATTGCTTAAGATGTAAATGGGCATATCTAGGAGTAGGCAAGGAGAACACCACCCCACCAATAACCCCCAAAAATTTCATCCCCACCCCTGTCACCCACAAAAATCATGTTCAAATAGTTAAAAATCACCTTAAATCACATTATTAAGTGAGCTAGCACTTATCACCTATTTCATCGAGCCCCCCCCCAAAAAAAATCAGTTCCCCCACCCCACTTTCAAGACTTCTAGATACGCCACTAGATGTAGTAGCTGCAAATGTGCAAGATCTGTTGCTGACAGTTTTGAAATCGGTTCAGAGGAATAGATAGAAGGCATTGGTGAGAAGGTCAAAGGGAACGGGAAGTGGTATATTTGGGAAGAAGGTCACGAAGGTAGGAATGTTGTGCAAAGATGAGAGCTTTAACAGTCCAGAGAATTTTGTGATGATCAATATATTACAGTCACTTATTAAAGTTTTTTAGAAAGAATAATACTATTAGAATATTGTACAAAAATCTCAGTAGATACCAATGAAAAAAAAATTCAATAACAAAATAAAGATATAAAGTCAATAACAACAATAATGAAAGGTTTTTCAACAGAAGTGGAATAATACTGCTGGTGAAGATGAAGACAGGAGGAGGGATGGAGACAGAGAAAAGAAGTGATAAGAAGTGAAGGGAGAAGAAAAGAACAGAAGCATAGAGAATGAGGATGACGGGGAAATAGAAAATTCAATTTAAGTGCCTCAAGGTTGTGACAATGTGAGGTGTTGTATAAATCCTGTCTCTTATACACATCTAGATGTGTATAAGAGACAGGGTCAAAGGGAACGGGAAGTGGTATATTTGGGAAGAAGGTCACGAAGGTAGGAATGTTGTTCAAAGATGAGAGCTTTAACAGTCCGAAGAATTTTGTGATGATCAATATATTAGTATTATATATATTTTTTCTGTTTTCTCATGTGTATATTATGAATCATGTATTTCTAATATAAAAAGCAATCAGTCAATCAATCAATTAATCAACAGAGGAAAGGAAAAGTTATTCTTAATCAATAACCAGTGATTTGCTACTTGATATAACTCAGTCTTTGATGCTGTGTAACTCAATGGGAGGGTTGGGGAGTATACTCAATCAATGCATACCAGCATTAAAACCAATTAACCATTAATATAAACAATAATCATTTCCTTTTTTAAATTATGAATCAGAAATTCCTCTTATTACAAATGGTATCACAGGTATTTCAGCTCCCCAAATTCGTACTGAGTGCAAATTGGGGGGGGGGGGGTGGTTGGGTGACTGATTTCTCTAGGGACATCAGCTTCCTTTTAGTGAATTTTAGATCACCAGCATCCAATTCTCTATGAATTTTACACACAAAGAAGAGGCTGAATTCAGTGGAAGAAGAGATGAAATCCCTGACACCAAAAAAGTGCTCCTCTGTTTACAATGTTAATTCAATTAAAGGGGCATTAATCTGCGTTTTACTATTTGATATTTACAAAACCATTTATCGTATGAGATATAGTGGGACACGAGTGGAATCATTTAATGCATGATTTTACTTATTTCACTTTGATATACAAATATAAAACCTTAAAATTAAACATGAACATTATTATTAAACATCTGATATTAATGAGAATAATTAGGCAAACATACAACTATCGCTAATGTGAATTAGGTAGGATAGCCTACCTACGCTAAGTTGTCTTGGTGCCCTGTTTAATATATGCTGCTATTGTATTATGTTTACAATTTAGGTATAAAATACATGTTTTCTGCGCCAGTTTATTCAGGTTATAGTAGGCTACAAACCTGCACAGTTTTCTTGGCCTCAAGCATGTGCTTTTTCTTTTCAAGCCCCCTTTACATGGAATTCCTTACCAATTTTTGTTCGCGATTCGTCTAACTAGCTTTCTTTTAAGAAAAATCTTAAAACTTATCTATTACTGGAACGTTAAGCTTTATTTCCTCACTTAGTACCTTTGATACATTTTTGAATTGGCACTATAAAAATATTTGTTATCATATTATTATTATTATTATTATTATTATTATTATTATTATTATTATTATGTTACTAAAACCTACCTTAAGGGGAACTTTTCAATGAAGAAATTAGAGAACAATTAAAAAAACAACGTTAAGGGGAAAATAACACAAAAGATTAAGTCTGACTTAACGCATATTATTATTATTATTATTATTATTATTATTATTCAGTAAAACTAGGCCTAAGCCTATGAACAAGATTTACATTATGAGACTACAACAACATCGGATAACATGAAAAACACTTACTAGTTAAATCATTGACTTTCTCATATTTATCATCAGTACATGTTTGGTTAGAACTGATCTCTTCTGATGGTAAATACACGTTAAACAGCATGAAGATAATACCCTGTACTTGACTGTGGTAGATAGATACATCAGGATTAATAAGAAGAGTAATAATCTGCTGTTTATATAATTAATTTTACAATAAACTGGGTATACATTAACCTTGGTCATTGGATCAAACACCTAAAATCTTGTCTGAACTATAAAATATTTTGACAAAAATATGTGATATGCCTAAATATGGTCATGATGACATCAGATCATGACCATATATAGGCACATCATGACTATATATGGGCATATAACAGTAATTTTCGTCACTGATGCTGGTTTGGCATGTCAAGCCTCAATTATCACTATAACTTTATTATTTGTACTATTACACTCACTTATTAAGTTTTTTAGAAAGAATAATACTATTAGAATATTGTACAAAAATCTCAGTAGATACCAATGAAAATAAAAATCAATAACAAAATAAAGATATAAAGTCAATAACAACAATAATGAAAGGTTTTTCAACAGAAGTGGAATAATACTGCTGAAATCTATACATAATGAAGAAGATGAAGACAGAAGGAGGGATGGAGGCAGACAAAATAAGTGATAAGAGGTGAAGGGAGAAGAAGAAAAGAACAGAAGTACAGAGAATGAGGATGACAGGGAAATAGAAAATTCAATTTAAGGGCCTCAAGGTTGTGACAATGTGAGGTGTTATATAAATCCAGAATTACTAAACATAATTATTATAATTATTACTATATAAACTAATATGAAAGCTATGACGATTGTGAACACAAAGTACATACCCAGACAGGGCTATTAAGCCAGCACTTGTTGCCTCAGCCACAGGGTATGTACACTCCACACCTAACTCTAGACCTATTGGATACTGGGCCAGGCCAAAAGTACCAAACAATACACAGCAGGCAAAGATTGCATCTTCCATACCACTAAATGTTGAAATCTGTAAAATAACACCACACACAGAAGAACATTTAGTTTATGTTTGTGGAAAATAATTGTGCATTTCCAAAATTCCATGTTTGTTCAAGGAACAAAATAAAACAAATAACAATTCAATGAAATATCAGTTTTACAGTAATGTAAATTATGTACTGATGATGACATAATTAATGTCGAAATATTGAATCCCGACACGATGGCGTGCATTTTGATACTTGGAGTATGTACAGTATTATACTATCTTGTAATGATACATGGTTAGATGAAAGCATTGTCATTATATATACTATAAGTTGTGACAGACAATTTAATAATTAATTCTAGTATATGCCTCTAAAAATGCTGGTAACTATGTCAGGAAAACACATGATTTAGTTACCAGATGATAATTGTACAATCTACTGTTATGATTATTTACAGGTATTTTTTGTTAATATTTTTCAGCACCAACTACAGTAAGCTCCATTTATTTCTTACATTTGACAGTACAGTTTCTAAACACCCATGTATGTAGTTACACCATTTTTGGAGTGTCTGCACCCGAAGGCCAAAACTCCGATTTTGGAGGTTTTGTGTACTATACGCCAAAACTCCAAAATCGATTTTTCAAACTTTAATCAAACCTCCGATTTCTGGGGGTTTGTGTACTATACGCGTAAACTCCAAAAATCGGAGTTTTCAAACTTTCAATCAAACCTCCGATTTCAGAGGTTCTACTTTTTAAAATTTGACTCTGAATTTGTAGTTTTTGCGAGAGAATTCAATTACAAAATAACGTTTTCAAAATACTCACTACTGAAAATATCATAAAGGCGATAATGGCTAAAGAGAAAAATATCTTGGTCACTTCTTCAAATTTCTTGGTCTTGTCTACATAAAGACCAGAAAAAAATGAGGCAACGATTCCGCAACCAATCATAGCTGCTCCACAGTACCCAGAAAATGTCTGCAATATACAAAGACAGACACATTATATCATAGAGGTATAAGTTAAATAGGTACATGAAAATTTGTATATATTTTTCCAGGCATATTTCCAGTGTGTTCTTGTCTAGGAAGCATTTGTGTGGGGGTAATTTTCCAAAAGACTTCTTGGAAAACTTTTCGAGGGGAAAACTTTCTGAGAAGTTATTTTCCTGGTGGGTACTTTCTGGGGATAATTTTTCTTCCCTATATTGGGTATCCTGTTCAGTAGATGTCTACCAGGGGAAAATCCAGTAGGAAGGAACGGGAGGCACGTGCACGTGCCCCACCCCCCCCCCATTTTGCCACTAAATTGTAAAATTTCAAGGCATATTTTGAAATTAGCTCTCACTTATCTATTCTGAATATGTAGATACTAATCAAGTGCTGTCTCTTATACACATCTAGATTCTGGATTCGCCCCTGTCTTACTGTTTTTCCACAGGGCCTTGTTATGCTTTTAATGCAACTAATTCTCATAACGAGACTTGGGGGTGGAGTTTTTTTAGTCATGTGAAAAACTCCACTCGCTTATGTCACAGGTGGGCAAAGTGTGGTCCCCCGGCCACCTGGGGCCCCACAGTGATTTTTTTGTGGCCCACGAAAATGAATTAAAAACCCTATGTGTGCTGCCCGCCAAACATTTTTTACGGCCTAACACCGATCATCTGTAAAAGGCAATGTTAAAACTGAGAATAAAGTGGTATAAAACCAGTGCATACAGGTTTTTGGAAGCACACTGTATAAATGTGACTGGGTCTGGCCCTCTGTGTTAAATCAAAAATTCACTTTGGCCCTCCAAACGTTTTCAAGAAAAGTCTGTGTGTTATATCCCATGCTTAATCTATGAGATTAGTGTGGATTGGTTAACAACTAAACAATAACGAAGCGTGGTGTTAACTGAATAGTAGCCAGTATTTAATGTCTGAAGGTGGTAGGATTGTGGGTAGACAAAACAAAGGTAGTTAATATTGCTGGTTGTTGCATTGTCTCAAGGTGAGGCTGGTAGCTGATATTGTTGCTTGATTTTAATCTTGGTAATAAACACAGAAAGCAAAATATCACTAAAGATGATAGAATCATCCACGTGAAAGCGCTTGGAGAAACTTGGTGGAAATTTACATATTACTAAAAGACATTACCATAATCATTTTATGTACAAAATGCTTATTTTTCATTCCAGGATCAAATTAAGCTCTGAATATTTTTTTAATTTTACTTTATTTATGATATTTTTTTCTGATTTTGTAGTGTTTTTTTTAAATGTAATATTAGTTGAGAAAGCTCCTCGAAAGTGTGCAACTCCTATGGTCCCCCACAGGAACTATTGTACTTTTGTCTATTTTCACAAAGACACTGCTATCAAACTTTATGTGACAAATACCGTTGGTTTGTCCATAAGGATGTGACATAATCATGCCCTTATATGTGCAAATCACAGATAACTGTTATATCAAACAACTTGATAGCATGGATAGAACTTTACATGCAATTTTTCACTATATAAGTCAATGGTGATCCTACCAGCTATCCTAATATATTTTTACATATTTTTCTTTTCATGCAAAGTGCGATATAATAATCAATATAACAATATATGTGAATGAGATAATGAGTTTTATAAGTTCCATCCTTTTCATTTGCACATAAAATTTCTATCCCCGGGCAGGCCCTAATTTGATATAGTGCCTACTACTACAAAGTTGGGTCAGAAATAAATTATTGCATAATAGTGAATACTTACATCTGAGTACCCTCTAACACACAGAACTTGTTGAAGAACAGTAAGTAATGCACTAAGTAATCCAAAACCAGCTCCAAAGTTGATGCACAAAATGATGTATGGCTTTATTCTTACAATCTAAAACAAATATATTTTTAAAAATATATTTAATCTGAAATATATTAAAATTCCTATGACCTACAAATAAATTGTATTCTATTAATATACTGTATTCATTTGAATAAACCCCCCCCCCCTTTGAATAACCCCCCCCCCCCCCTTTGAATAAACTGAAACTGCAGTCCCTATATTAAGACCTTTCCTAGGCCTAACTAAGGCTTCGTCGTAGACATACCCTAGCCTAGGCCTAGTTCTTAGTCACCACTGTTGAATGACGGCAAGCTTGCCAAAGAAAAAAATATTATAAGTAATGACGTAATAGATACTAATCAGGGGCGTACCGTGGGGGGGTCGATGGGTGCGGTCGACCCCCCCTTTTAAAGAAAGTGCCCTTTTAAATATGATTTTTAAAAAAATCTAGCATAATTAAACTGCGCCTAACATGAAGGTAGTTAATATCAAAATAAATTATCCTTCGCCTAAAAAATGTTTGGTGGTCCTTCCTTTTAATATTTTGATTTTTTGTCTTTTTTTTTAAACAATCCATATAAATTTATACATTTTTAATCAACTTGATACTCTAAGCCCGTGCGCCAGTGGAGTTGTGTTATGTGGTTACGCAATACACATCT